ACACTTGATCGCGGGAATCGCCTTTTAGCACATTGCAGTCCACGTAACGAAAATTACGATTATTAACGAAAGGCATATGAGGCAGAAGTGAAATCGTGATTTGCAATTAAATAGTATTAAAAATGCCAATAATCCACTGATTTCATTGATATTAGGTGTTCGCATTCAAAAACGTGGATGTGCATAGATGAGCGGCAGGAGAGCAAAGGGACTGGAGCGGCCTCCTATCACCTGTATGAAAGACAGCCCCTCCGGCTGAGTAGTATATATCGTCCTTTTTTGTGCTATTCAGCTCCCAAGCTAGATACTATCCCACTCTAGAGACTCCACAGTGAGCGAGTAGCGAGCTACAGCCGCTCAAAATTCTAGTTCTAACGCCCGCTCAGTTGGACCGCCCTACTTGCTAGCTGCCTCTGACGGAGAGCCGCCCAGTTGTTCTTTGTTGGGACAGCGGGCAACTTAATCGGGACTGGGGCATGTACTATTTTGCTGTCCGCGCGTCGTGGCCCATAATAGCTTGCTCTCTTTCATCACCTTCCGATCTCGTTGGGCAGGCAACATACATCAACTGCACCAATTTCTCGTAAGGTGAAACGCGTAAAAATCACGAATGATGCAATTTCTGTGGTGCAAAAGCTCGACATGCACCAAAAGCGCACACTGCACGTAAACCCAAATTCGGACGCCAGGTTTTTGAATTTTTCCTTTTTTCAAGTGTTTTTCGTTCGTGTCTTTGTTGTTTTTCATATTGTTTTCTTTGAAATGGATGTTGTCCACTACTGGGAAATGCCATAAAGCGATTTGTGAGCCAGGGTTGCCCACGGACCGCAGGGCGGTGTAACTGTAAGGGAGCAATTTTGTTTGTGGTGTTCTTGAGGGCTCTTGTTGCTTTTTTCCTTCATTGAGGAATTACTTATCAGCTACTGTTTCATAATTAATCGCATTACTACTTGTCACTTTATCGCGGGAGCTGTCTTTAACTGTACTCCGGTGATCTTCGAGTTGCACGAAAGCAGAGCCACTAATGTTTCCACTCGTTTCTGTAGAGTAATAGAGTGGCCTAGTGGCTTGGAAAGATGTCCCGACCTATCGCGTAGGCGGTTGTTCAGGTATTTGCTTAATATCCCGTGTAATGCAATCAGTAATCGCTTTGGCCCAGCGGTCATCCTTCGAACAGCATGACGTGCGCGCCCACAAGATCTTTGAAAACTTAGCGAACGCGGTAGCGTCGCTGGTCTTCGATCGCTGACGCAGTGCGGAGCTCCAGATTCCCTCTCTCACTTGCGCATTCCCTCTTACTCACTCAGGCGGCCTTCTATATTGCCTGGATCTAGCACAAACTTAGCAGCGATTTCCAGCTGAGTATTTCACAAAACATATGTACTAGACGAACAAAGCGTTGAGAATGTGAAAAGAAGCCTGGGTGATCGAAATCAGCGGTGGAGTGTCAAAATGGGGGTCATACAAGGAAAATGTGTCGCTCACATAAATGGTGAGTTGGACCAGTACTTGCGTAGAATAGTGTTCTTGAAAGAAGGATGGGTGCGAAAGAGAAAGATAGGAGGCTCTATGAGGTTGCAGACAGACGAAAGGCGACAAAGAAAGAACAGGAGGCTCTATGAGGTTCGCCCACATACGAAAGGCGACTAAGTAAAATCAAGCATTAAATGCCTGGTCGCAGAGACTGGAGCTTTGTCGAGTTTCTCCGCAAGAATGACATTCCTGCTTTTACAGGTGGCCAAGTTACACCTGAAAAACTGAGTACGGTCACGAGGGTATGATTTTGGGTCCCTCGTCTTCTATATGAACGCAAATACAAAACGAATCTGAAGCAGAAGCAATGTTCTTTGCCTAAGTCGCCTCGACTTACCTAATTTTGTCATACATTTTTTTCAGGAGAAAAATCGCTATGATCAGTATACACCGAGCAGCTACTGTTTCGATACGACATATCGTTACGATTGTAATTCTAATTGTAACTTTGGTATGCCCATTCAACAAGAACCACCTCAACAATCAACATGTCAGCTGTTCGTCAGTTCTTCATGTGCTCAGCTACAGTAATCCATAGGCATCAACGAACAAAATGCTTTTCATTACCTTATGAATATCTGGCTCTCTTCTTGCCATTAAGAAATGCTAGATGAGATTACCTTATATTGTTTAGTTAGAGTGAGGCTATAATTAATTGTTTCCTACAGTATACCCATGAAAATTACCGTTTTCTCTATTCACTCGCCAAATAGCGTTTTGCTCACAACTGCTTCACATTGTCGGCCATCTCTAGCCATACTCTTACTTTTGAGTAATCAGTAATATTGTTTCACGTGTGCTCAGATTGTATGGCCTCATTGCCATGTAGCTATTTTTTTGGAATGAATTTGAACCGCGAAGGGCTTCTAGAAACTTTTCTATGCGAAGCATGCAGCAGCTCGTGTGGGTGGATGTCTTCATACTTTGGCACAATGCCAAAGAACTGCTTAGCGGTGAGATCGAGTTTGCTCTGCGGTCGCTGTGGAATCCTCACAGGATGGAATCCTTCTTGATCAGACCTCGAAAAGCGCATGCGCTGATATGGCCATTCGACCTGACAAATCCCTGCGGGAAGACCTCAATTCCCCCCCCCCCCAATCCTTTTATGTATTAAGCGCATCCCTTAATGATGGAGTTTTGGTTTTGGCACTGTTCCTTTCAGGTGAGGCCTTTTTTGTGCAATAACGGTAGTAGCGACTTTGCAGAAGGAAGCCTTCGGTGCTGTCAAATGTTGTGAGCTTCGTTTTGACTTCTTTTTTGGATTCTTAGTTGGACGCTATGAAGTGCTGAAAGGTGTGGGGACACGACTGTAAGCAAGACTGGGGATTTTCGGCAGACGGTCAAGACAATCGTAATTTGCAGCTATGTGCCGCGAAGGGCGCGGCTCTCCGTAATTTGGGTTAACCTGTCAATAAGGTCGGAGACAATTGCTGCTATTTTTGGTTTTACACAGTGTGCTGTCGCCACATTGACCCGACAACATCCTCATTTGTGGACGCGACGCAGCACGCAACGGTTCACGGGGAGACGGGCAAGAGAGTCGTAATTCGCCGCTTTATCGCGCGCGGCAATGGGCGCGACGTTTCCTTAGTTTGCACTACCCTTTCGATTGGAGCATCGGATTTCATGTAGACAAGGAGATGGTAAACACTTATGTCTATTTTTATTCACAGACGATTTACGATTGTCGTGTCACATACCCATTATTTCTGCCTACCCATAAGCCTGGGAGTGAAAGAGTCGGGTTAGGCGGACTAGTTTCTTCGGCTCTGCAAGGCGACATTCTTCCTAATACTAGTTGAGTACAACTTCTACCGATCGTCTACAATAAGAAATGTTTATCGTGGTTTCAGGTTCAGTAGGTATTCTGCGTGAAAATGTCCTATTGGAAAGGCGTCATTTTGCTTCGGACAAAATTAAGCGCGTAGTAATCGATTGTGTGTTGCTTGTAATCAATAGCTGTATAAAGAGCTTTAATACGTTGCATACGCGTCAAGTAAAGAGTTCTCAGTGAGAGATCACACGTCGACCAACACAGAAACAACTAGCAAGAATTCAGCGATAAGTAAATAGCAGTGTGAGAAGAATTATCAACAATTAGCCTCATCATCTATGATGAGAGTAAATACAAACAAAAGTAGAAAGTACTAGGAGAAAAACCATTCGTTGCGAAAAGAATCCTTTGGCAAGAGGGAACCCGTAAAGAACTACCAAAATCATAATCACACTGGGCGAAGTTCGAGTTTCTCACATATGACACAAATAGCGAAGCTTACGTCGAGCAAAGACCAATTTCATCAGAAGAAACTCATATAAAAGTTAAAATAAACAAAAACCCTTTTTTAAACAGAGACTGTACTTCAGCGAAAGGCAGTATGTACGTTGGCCAAAGTCAGTGATAAACGTCGTGTCAATCGGCTTCGTCTGCTGAACGGGTGCTAGGAGCCGTAGAAACGGAAAAAATTTGCGATTCCGGAACGACCTGAACAAATTACAATAACAACTTCTGAATTAGTTCACTTAAACAGGGAAAGGCGGAATGACTGACGCAGCCAATATTTTGACACCATTTTGATATATTTTGATGTCGAAATCACTTTAGAGAGATCAATTTGTACCAGGAATATTGGGTCTGGACTAAGAAACAGCCCAAAAATATTAGCAGGTTCCAGAATGATGGTCTTTTGAATACAGGCCCAGCCCTTCAGAAGTTTGACGAGCGCAGCGTTTGCCGCAGGCGCGAGAGACATCGTTTTCAACCGTAAAGACCTTTCCAAGCTAGTCGCCTTTTCCAAAATGAGAAGACAGGTGATGGAATACTTGCTGAAGCTACCGGTAAAGGAGGTACTCAGAAAAATTCAAACTCCCTCAATCCTCTGAGGTTTTGGGTGGAATCTCTCCAAAGACTGCTTCTACACAGTTCCCTTCGGCGTAAAAAGCGGCATAGTAGCTTGAGAAAAAAATCGTTACTAAGAATGTCTATGGGCCGATTCTCATTGGTGCTTTGGCAAGATCCTACTTCAGACAGGGTACATCCTGCCTTGGTAGGAATTTTCGCAAAATAAATACGACAACCCTCTATTTCGAAAATTCTAGCATATTTTTTCATGTTCAAAATAAATACTATTCACACTTAAACTTGAAGGTGATTCTGAAGCGCTATTCAAAATATCGGTGCAGCTTCAATTTTGGCCAGCCCTGTATAACAGTCTACTAAACTTCTATTCCCCATATTTGTCCCCCATGCGACTGAAGGAGTCATAAATATTACACCGACGAGTAAAGACATTCATCAGAATGGGGTAATCTCCTATATAATCTCAGGATTATTCCAACGACAACTTCAATATATCACTTTAGTGCCCCGCAAAACAGCGACAATCTGACGGTCGTCCTCATCCCACCGAGTAAACCCCCCGTATTGACATCTTTGACTTTAGCAAATGGCAAGCTATAGAATAGGATGCCTAAAAATAACCTGCCTGATTGAGTGGGGTTGTTTCTTGTGGCGCTTTCTTCGTACCATTCAATTCTTCCATAGGTACGCCATGTTTGGTAACGTTACGAGTTTCTGGCACGTACGTTCGCTCAGTTTCAAATCGCTGTCTCGGCCTTAAACGACGGATATCAGGAAAGCAAAAAAATCCTTAATCTTCACGACGGAAGGATAACATCAATAAACTCACTTGAAAAATTCTATAGGAACTTTGGACAACTGTCTTTTGAGAGCGTTTTGGATCTCACCATTTAGGAAACAATACAGTACAGCGATGAAAATTCCCTGAAAATGAAGCTTTCAAAAAAGGAAAGCGCTGGGTAAGGCCCAAATTTTTCGTCTATTCGAACTACTATTCGAAATAAATATATAATTCCGAAAAATAAAAAATATTCGAAAATATAATTCGAAAATATTCGAGAATTTATTCAAATTTTTTGAAGTTTGGCATCTTCAAACCAGGTACTATGTAGAGCCATTCCAGGCATTGACACAACTCCTAGCTGAGCATTGGCTGGTGTATTCCGCGTTGGTCCTGCGGGCGGAGTCACATAGACCATTGAGCCTTCTTGAGTTATGCTCCCCTGCTCAATGCCATTTAGAACGTGCGGCCATTTTAGAAAGTGTCAAGGGCCGTGTGGTCAATGTGACTCTGCAGACGTGATAATGGTGGGAATATGCCTTTTGAAAACATCAGTTTTGATCTAGTTATCCTAACCCTCTTACTACCCATACCACTTACTACCGAGGATAGAAGTGACCATTAAGGGCAATTGTACTCTCACCTCCAATAACTGCCGTGCGAAAGAAACACGGTCTGCAGCTTCAATATTGTGCCACTTTCTTCGCTCAAAAAATGAGCAGAAACCGGGTTGGAGGGTAGTGATACCCGGTGCCGGCTCCATACTACGCCTGCGCTATGCTCATGGTGCAGCACTTGAGCACGGTCCCGTAGCGAAACATATAGAGAGCAACAGGAAGTGAGAGGGTGCAGGCAAGAAGTGCGTCTTGGCCACGATCAGGCGTGTGGCTGGCTGCGCGACAGCACGAGGCTGAGTATGGAACCGGATGCGGGGAATCACTCCTCTGCTGTTCCGTCCCCGTGGACGTTTGACCGGAGAAATTAGCATGCTACTGCAGTTGCGGACCCATTCGCCTCAAACATGGCAGGGAGTCTTATCCTCGGGAGTGAGTGAACAGTTTGCTTCAAAAAGTTCCGGGCCAGCACACAAGAAAGACCCCGACCCTATGTCAAACCAATGTTTTCGCGAGAGTGGGTAGGAATAAAATGCGTCGCATCAGGACCAGACACTTGAATTCAGCTTCCTGCAGCCACTTTATCTAGTACAGCTATAATTTCGTCCCTAGTTGGCCATTTTTCCCAGATGTTTACCAGGGGGAACCTAGTGGTTCGCGCTATTATAGGATGTATAAATCTGACCAGTTTGTCACTCCATGAATTCTCTACGAAGTTTCGTTGACGCATACCCATAGACAAATCCCCCTAACGTAATCCCCATGGATTACGGACAGCCATCTTTTTCCGTCGAAGAGTCATCTTCGCCTTGTCACAAGGAACGAATTGTTAATAAGCTTATTGCGTCTATGAGAGCTCGAATTTTTCCATCACATGATATCAAAATATAAATGAATGTAAAATTGGTCCCATCACTACGAATTTTTCATTTTTTTCCTGACATTCCGCGCTCAACAGCTCATTTAGATTGTCAATCATTTTGCGTTTTCCCCCCAGGTGTCAATGATGGATTATACCTGAGAATGTTGGAGAATGGCCGATCCCAACATGTAAACAGCACTAGGCTCAGCTGGCTCATAAAATAATGGTATATTTGATACACCAAGTAATGGTACCAATAGTAACGTCGCTTTGATCGTACGCCTGAAAACACGGTACTCAATCAGATTGTAGAACAGAAAAGTGAAGGAAGAACAGGTAAAGAAATGAAAAGGCGAGGAAAATATCTTTACTCATCATTTTTAGGTAGTAAAACGTTATCTAAGTATTGTGCTCGCCCGGACCCTCATGATAACATGGTTTTTAACAACACTGTAAAAACTCTGGAACTCCAAAATTCATCGAAGAAACTCAACGACATAAATGTCTTGAAAGTTTTTGAAAATTACCTATCCTGAGATATTTCGCTGCTTAGCCTGTTGTTCCAGTGAGATAACTGGTATGGGTATCTAACTCACAAGTGTTGGCGTCCCAATCAATAAACTTACCTATATTATCTAACTAAAATGTACATTATCACTTCAGGTCCGCTGAAAGTACCAACCATCAAAATTCCGCAGGATTGAATTTTTCAGATCCCTGTCTCTTAGATATGTCAGTCTTAGACTGATGTAAAAG